AATATATAGGCGTTTACCCAGATCACGGAATCACGAGAGGTTAAAAGAGGAAACAAGGATATTTTTGATGGATTTATTGGATCCCCAAAATTAGGGTGCACATATGTACATTGGCCTTTGTATTTAAGAATAATATCTATTTTTTTGCTGCAATATTTTAGACAATAAGTCGTAAACTTTCGTTGTACCTATCTAAGAAAAATATTGTTTTATTTTCATGATGGATATTCAATCATTAGAGTCTTTAAAACTAATCTATTTGCTATCTGTATTTGTTAGTTCTTTGGTAAATAACTCTTGTCTTCTTTCTCTCGTTTTTTAAAAGAAACATACCTCTACTGCTTTAATATTTTTAGTATATTTTGTCAAACTTTGTTAACTTTATTTATATATAGCTGTGTGTCCTTCTTTGGTACAAATTGCTTCTTAACGGCGTACTTACGTGTAAAATTTATCTGTCCCAAAGTGTACCCCAGTACAGGGTTGCTTTAGGACAACTTTAAAGTGCAATAACTAAAGTACTGTTTAGAATTTTGATTTCAAGACACTGCTTAGGGTTAAATATTTCATATATCAAGGACTATATCAATGAAAACCCCTAAAAATCTTACAAAAATGAAAACCCCTAAAAATCAAATCAAAATCAAATCAAAATATTTATTTATCAGTATTAAATGTTATACAAAGTTACCCCAGTTTTTTTTTCTCTCTGACAGAAATTCAACGGAAAAAAGTGATAAAATAGCATATTCAAATCTAGAACGATATTGAAATGGAAGTGAAAAGTAAAAAAAAATATTATGTACAAATGATCACTGTCAAATGGATTATTCCAGATTGTGGTACGGATGACTCGACCTAATGTTAATCAGTGATCTGTACCACAAGATTGACAACACGTAATGTACTGTTCCATATTTGGAACAACATCAAAAAAGGCCAGATAAACAGCCAAACAGTATAACATTAACACTTTTTTTTAGTCTGGAATTACTCTAAGAATCAAAATAAGAGAGATAGTGCATCTGCCAAGCATCAAATCGAAAAATTTTCTATGAAAACCGCTCTTATTAAAAAAAAAACCAACAACTTCTTGGATTTTTTCGAGCTCTTTTACACTCTGTATCTTTAAAATAGTTTTCAGAGTAGGAAATAAAACCTTTGGAATTATTTTTAACGATAAGCTTCTTTTGTTGTTTGCAATAAACTTGTAGAACGTAAACAAAATTAAAGCTATTTTCTCCACTAATTGAAAAGTTCTTTCTGAAATAAAAAAACCCTGAAGAACACCCTTTTAAAATCTTCAATATTACTTTTTTACGGTTTATTCTCGCAATCCACTAAGTATAATCTCGCTTCTTTTTGGTGGGGCGTTGCAAAGGATGTTTTTTTATTACTTCCAAAATTGAGTATTACGGGAATTATAGCGGAGAAATACGAGCTCTTTGAAGTTATTAATAGGGCCCTTGGAGGATAAGTAGTATTAAAAGGCATGGCGATGAAAGGAGATTGAGCAAGAATAGAAGTGCAATCTTAAAATTAGATTGAAAAACACTGTTGGTATATCATGTAAAGAGATTATTTCTAAGAAGTTTTAAATCCATTTTTTAAAGTTAATAACAGTGATTTATAAGATATGTGGTGAAAGTTATATTTCGTTTTGTGAAAAGGGAAGTTTGAACATTTTGGAATAAAATAAAATTATTTTAGCACACATACTAAGTCCTATAACAGTGTGTCAAACATCTTTGTGTCTCCTATACAGAGTGTTTCAAAAAACATGTGCCATTTCTCGTAGGGTGATTCCTCTAGTAAAAATAAGATTTATTTTTCATATTAACATAGGTGAGATTCTGCTGTGTTTTGTAGCTAAAGGGGGTTAAAGATTTCATCTTTTTTCGATTTACTGTAATTTTCTTCCAAGTGCTTTTAGCGATTCTAATGAAATTTTGAGGGTAAGTATTAGAAGTGCTAAGAGGAGAAGTACTAAGAAGTAATTTTGAGGGTAATTTTGAGTGATTTGTACTGTAAGTGCGACATATTTTAATGCTAAGAAAGTGACGACCTATTCACTAGTATTGTGACGATTTTTCTGTCGTTATCCAAATAGAATGAAAAAAAAGTCCGTTGCTCAGGGTTAGAGGAAAGCTGGGTTCGTAGGTAAGGCTTCTGACTCACAGTGACTTTCTAATGTTGTTAAAAAATAAAAAAAAATGATAATATATAGGCTGCAGAGATTTTAATATTGATGTTAAGAATTCAAATAGGTATGGTCAAAAACAGTGAAAAGGGCGCCACTTACTTTGTTTATGAGAGTGGTAAAGTAAGAAACCAAAAAGAAAAATACGATATCACAACATAGCTGAAATAAAGTAATCAACAGCATTAAGGGTCTATTATGTTTATCAGGAATAAAAGTCAGAAATAACTATCCTACATTAAACATTTATTGAAAACGAACACAAGTATCATCAATTAGTCACAGTGATCCCAATAAAACCGCAAGTTATTTTAAATAGATTCGAATTTAGTAACTGTATTCTTTGAACTAAGTAAGCTACTTAATATAAAAACAGGTGAAATTTATGTATGTCTCAATACGATGATGTTTCGAAACATGTCGTGTACAAAAACCTTTAAAATGAATACGTGTTAATAATTTTCATATAAAATATCATAGCTAAGTAAGAGTGTACTGTACGAATCAAATTATAACTTATAACGTTAAATAAAAAATAATTTTGACTACAATATGTGGGATAATTGTGATATCAATAAGTGATAATTTACCAGGTTATTAAATCTGTTGTCTCAAAAATTATAAAATAAAAGCGTACCTTGTGTATCAAACTTAAGAGACTTATCTGTATATAGTTTTTTATGATGTAAACAGGTAGGTAGGTATTCTCCAGACTAACAGAAGTGGATGCAGATGACTATGGCAGGAGAAGTCTTCGATATCAGCCAAAAGAACGATTGTAATGTCAGGAACACTGTGTTAAGGTCTGCATAGGTCCATACAAAATGAAAGTGGGTGAAACATACAATAATTACTGCATTATTACTGCATACCATGTGGTAATTACTGTGTACCATGTGGTAGTTACTCTATAAATAAAAAATAGTTCTCAGGACAGATACTCAATAAAAAAAACAACTTACGGTCTGAAAATCAGCACTACATAAATATATTCAAACCATATGCCGATCCAAACCAGTAATTAAATACTCAAATAAACGAAATAAAAAACGGAAATAACTGAAATAGAATTTAGTTAGATAGGGCTATATAAAATGGCGGATAAACTTACGGTGATCATTCCAAGAAGAAACCAAACAAATACGATCTATACTCTGGATTGCATACTTTACAAGGTTTTCAAATTTCCAAATCGGATACCCATGCAATGGAAATCGAAAAGTGGATTCAGAGTGCTTTTCACTGGAAAATTTGTCGGACGCCGAAACACGCGTCTTCTTCAGATCCAAATTCTCAGAAGAAAAGACCTTCTTCTCAGTTTCAGAACCGAAGCCAAAACCTTTTCACCACAGACAAAATGAGAGAGAAAAAAGTGATATCATATGATCGAAATCATTAGAACAGAAAATCGCAATCCACAGCGAAGTGAGATTCGGACAAGTGAAATGCAATTAAGGAAGTTTGGCATATAGTGAATAGATGGCGCTAATAAACAGGACAAGTGAACTGTAATAAATGAAGTTTGACATCTAGCGAATAGATGCGCTAATAAAAATTAAATATCGAGACAAGTGAGCTGTAACAAATGGAGTTTGGTATCTTTGGCATCTAGCAAATAGATGGCGCCAATACTAAGAAATTTAAATAAAAATAGATTTTTAAATTCAATTTTATTAAAGGAAATAAAAAATGCTACTGTATTATTTGCCGTATCCAATTCTAAAAGCAACCCTCAAAAAATTTAACTTTAATAACTTGCCTAAATGTTAAATACGTACTCATTGATTCCTTATGAACAAATATAAAAAAGTTCATATAAACATGGATGCGGAAATGCAAAGTTTTAAAGTTACAGGAAGTTAACACTTTTAAAAAACAGGCCTTTTGTAATTGTCTTAAATACCATTATTTTTGGGTGGAATTTGCTGGGGGTAGCACTGTATATCTGTGTAATACATTTTAACAAAATTTAGTAATAAATCACATTAAAAAATTAAATATATTTTTTTTTGTTTTAATTTTATTAATTGTGATTAATAAATAAAAAAAAAATAAAATTGCGTTTATCTTATCGATGAGATCGAAATGTATCAAGATACAGTTTTTAATCGGCCATTAAATGACCTACACATTTTTGCTAATATGAGGAAAAAAGTCAGTGGCGCACATGTTTTTTAAAAAAAATATTTCAGTGGTAACCCATATGCACGTCCCTGGTGAATCTGTCGACACTTTTTATAGCATGAAAATATATGTAGCACTCATAGTATATCTAAAATTATAATATAATAATAGTTCCCGTATATAGCGTTTAACGCCTTGGGAGTAGCAACGTACAGCTTGCCATACTAGAGCCGTTCGGTATACAAGGAAGGTAAAAAAAGGTGCCCGGTGGCGTAGGGGTACCTACAGTTCTCGTCTACCAATTCAAAGGTTGTGGGTCCATCCCACAGCCGGCATTTCATCAGCCGACTATTTTTAATAAAATAAAAATAGTTTAGGTACCTAGGTCGACTCAGCCTTAAATTAGTACTTGGGATTCACAATCCTGAGGTAATAATAAGCGGTTGAAGCGTAATGCTATCCACATTACCTTCTTTGTATATAAAATTATAATAAATAAAAAAGAAATAAAAACTTTTACTTCCTGTAGCTACAAAACAAAGTAGAATCGGACCCATGTGGATATGAAAAATAAATCTTTTTTTTGTGTGAGGAATCTCCCCACGAGAGATGACACATGTTTTTTGAAACACCCTGTATAATGAGTAATATTCTTATAAGGCTATTAAATACTTACTTAAACATCTGCTAAGATGGTGCAACGGCAGCTACATGCAGAATACTATAAGTAAGCAAGGATAGATAGAGTCATCCAAATCAATTTTCTTCTTCTTGTTCTCCAACACTCTCTATCTTGTACCGCTAGAGAAGCTTCTTGTAGACCGTGAGCATTAATTTATTTTGGCTTCTAAAACAATAAAATATTATCTTTGAATTTTATTATATGAAATCGCAATAATTTTCAGAAACAGTTAATTAGAAAATTTTAAACGTTAAAATAATAACTCGAAATATTACATTCAATACTGTTTTTGAAAATAACAGAACATCTTGTAAAAATCTATTCATACACACCAACAAAAATAGTTTATTATCATTATTTTGAAAAATAAACCTGGATAGGATATTTTCATTTAAAAATGAATCTAATGGTGTTCTCAAATTTAAATTGCTCGATTTTTGTATTTCTAAAAACAGGAAAAATACAAAATATATAACTATTTTAGGATTATTAATAAAATTAACAAAATCTTTCTTGTGGTATATTATTGTAAATTTGAGATGCTTATGCGTATCAATTTAAGGTATATCGGTAGTATTTAAATACAGGTTGGTAAACAAGATCTACTTTTCAATGCACAACATTTTTTAAACTATTTAGGTAACTATGTTTTTTGACTATGCTTATGTTTAAGTTAATATAATATTTTTAAATTAACCCCGTATACTTCTGGGCTATGAAAAATATTTTGTGTTTTTTTACCCGACTCTAAAGCAACAAAGATCATTAAGTAGCAAAAAATATATGAATTAATGTAGGAATTTCTGTAATCTCAAATCAGACAAAGCCTGTTTAAATGAATACAAAATAAAATATAATCCTTGCATAAAATATAAAATTTTTAAGTGTTAATTTTGTATAGGTTAACGGTTATTTTTGTATAGGTATTATAAAGATCAAAATGTAAGTTATGAAAATGAGAAAATGATAATAATCCAGAAATAATAGGGAATTAATATCATAGCATTAAAGAAATCTAGCCCTTAATCGATTCATAAAATAAAGTAATATTTTATGTAGTAATCCGCTTGACTTCCCATTTTATAGCATATACAAGTTTTTCGCATATAGGTAGTTATATCCTAAGTTAAAATTCCAGTTTTATTTTTTGGAAGTCTGCGAGATACTTACTTTCAGCACCAACATAAATAACTTTTAAGTTTTTTTTTATAGATTTTGCAAGTAAGATTATAAAAATTTTGAAATCTACACTATTTCGAGAACACTTTAAATCCATTTTATTATCGACCTATATTTAATACAAATTTGCTTGTTTAAGATTTTTATTAAAATTGCTGGGTTTTAAATAGAGTAATACATATTCTTTATGCTATACGCTAAGGAGCTAAAAGCCTGATTCAGCCTTTATTAAGGCTGATTCTCACTATACCTTCCGTTTCCATTCCATATCCATTCCGTATTTTTGATTGTATTCACGCTATACGTATGCTTCCGTTCCGTATCAGTTTCATATGTTTTATTGCACAATTTATATCATTATCAGTTTAATTTCAAAAATTTGTATCTTTTAAAAAAGGTAATAGATTTAATTAAGAGGTAAAAGAATAAATAAATATCAGCAAAATGTTAACAGAGCTGGTACAAATGTAAGAAGTTGACAACGCTGTTTCCGATACGCTTCAGTCCGTCCGCCAAAAAAATGAATGGAAGAAAAGGATATGGAACGGAAGGGAAAGAGAACGGATAGTGTGCATTGTCCTGTTCATTTATATGATACAATATTTTATGTAAATGGAAGGGAAACAGAAGGTAGCTGATACGGAAGGTATACTGAGAATGAACCTTAAAGCGGTCTCAGCAATTTTAACATACTCGTACATACTTTATAAATGTCAAAATTTGACTTGTAATATGTGAGGCTATTTAGACAGTGTTGCCAACTTTTCGAAATATAATTTCCCACGAAGACGATCACCGATTACAAATAATACATAAACATTTTCCCTATTCCCCCTGGATCTCGAAATTTTCCATGAGTTGGCAACACTGTATTGAGAAGATCAATTTCTATCAAGCAAAGTAAAAAATACTGGGGTATTATTGATCGGTAATAAATATCAAAAGTTGTTGTAATTTCCGCTGAAACAGGAAGTGACCGAAAACAATTGAATACGTCAATCAAACCTAATTTATGTCATATACTAAAATACCAAATCTTATTTTTTATCTGAAAAAATAAAAAAGTAATAGATGAGTAAGCCACTTTTAAAGAACACCAGGTATATTTTGTATAAGTACTAAAGGGTTAAAGGATTATCATTATTTCAAGCCGGCATATTTGAATTACTTCGTATATCCTAAACACCATTTCGAATCAATACCTACGGCTAAATTTAACAAACACCTGGATTTCACGTACAACAAACGGATTTATGAAATTACTTTAGCAGCACGTTCACCGGTAAACAACACATCGATCACAAGTGTTTCAATTATTTTTCTAAAACTTTCCATTAAATAAAGGAAACAAGAAGCGACAGCCGTTTCCATTGGGAAATGTTTTGTGCAGTTTGTTTGATAAGTAAACAATGGCTACGTTTCGACGTTTGTAACGTGGCCCAGTGCATATCAAAAGGTTTTTTTTCGACAAAATTACTAGTTGTTTCTAAAAAGGATGGAAAACAAGCTCGTTAGATTTGAGCCAAACTAACACAAGTTACATAAAAGCCGGGGACATTTCGTTAACTGAAAAATAAAAAGTTATTTTTTTTTGTAAAATACCACTGCGTATCCAATCAGAAACTAGCCTGTTAGTGACTTTTCACTCGTAAAATAAATGTTCATATATACAGAGTGTGTTTCTTACGGTGTTCTCTATGGGTATCTTGGAAACTACTGGAGTTAGAGAGTCGGTTAAAATGGGGAAAGAATTGCAGTTTTGTGGGGTCATAAATATGCGCCTTTCAGATTTTTGAAAAAGTTCATAGTTTACTAGATATTTCGAAAAAAAAACTTTGGCTATTTTAAAAATTGTCCCTAATTCCATTATAGTCTATTTTAGAGAAAAAAAATTCAGATAAAAGTTGTAAATAATTACATCCCTAATGAGTTTGTGTTCTCCGATTTTTTCTAAAGCCTGTCATTTTTGACATATGCCACAAACATGGTTTTTTAATTGGAAACCATACTTGGCCATGACTTCATAACAAGCGCCATTTTTAAGCTTTTCAGCGATATAAGCTATAATATGTTTTTATTTCGAAAAATTACTGTGTTATAGCCAATTCTTATCTTTCTTGAATAACTTCACTTAGTTGGTATGGTATTCTTATTCTGTTTTGATTTATAACTTATAAAAAGACAGAATATTTTATTAAACGGTTCTTTACAATTTACATTACACAAACTAAAACTTAATAAACTTCTCCCGTACCGCCTCTCGAGTAATTAATATTCTCCTCTCTTAATTCATAAATTCTTTTGTAAACCTTGTTAACCATACCGCATAAAAAATCTAAAATGGATAGGTCAGGTGATCGAGGAAACTAACCTCTTCCTATCCCTGAGATTGCATAATAAATAATAATAATAGCTCCCGTATATAGCGTTTAACGCCTTGGGAGTAGCAAGGTACAGCTTCACATACTAGAGCCGTTCGGTATGTGTATCCGGTATGTGTATCCGGTATGTGTATTCCATTGGGCGTTGTGTGACCTGCAGTTTTCATATGATGTCCGTTTTAAGTGTCCAGCTTTTGCATGGTCGAATGTTTTCTTCTTTAGATAGAGTGGCATTCTAGATTTGAATATGATTGAGTTTCTTCCATAAGTACTCCATGCATATAGATATCCCGAGCTTTTCTTTCCACTAGTTAGTTGTGCATTACTTTAGTTTTTGTTAGATTCATGTTGAGACCCACTTTATTGCTGGCTGTATTTAGTTCCATTAATTTGTGCTTGTAGTTCTTCAGGACTATTGGCAATTAGGACGAATTATAGATGGTTAAGATATTCTCTATCTACTTTTAGTCCTGTCTTTATTCTTCTATCTACTTTTAGACCTGTTGGTCCAGTACAGTTGACGAAATATTTCTTCTAATGTTACTGTAAACAGCTTTGGGGATATCGCGTCTCCTTGTCATACTCCTGTGCCAGTTGTACAGTTGTAGTGACACGATGCATAGCCTATAGTATATGTTAATATACACCACTGGGAATAGAAGCAATGGAAAATGATATTGCAGACATCCATTAGTGGATCAGAAGAAGTGAACAAGAAATGCATCTTTAAAACAGAGTTCTAAACATGTTTTGAAAAATTTCAAATAAATATTTACAAGTTTGAAATAAAAGTAATTGGTTTAAATTGTCTTTTCTTTTGAAATGTTTTACACTTTTTATGTAACACCTTCTACATATAAAATTATGAATCAAAATGTAAATGTTCTATAGAAAAATAAATAGAGTTTTTACGAAACCATACACGTGTTGAAATCACATTTTAAAAATTCAGACAAACATGAAATAAAAAGTAAAAAATATGAAAAAAAAACAGCTTTATTTTTTTCCATTTGCCAAAAAAATTGTTTATTCGGCATCGATGACGTAACAGCGGGAAATCGAAAAAATGAAAATCTTTAAGCATGGGTGTATTGTTGTTTTAACGATGTCGATGTATGGGATTTACATCATTATAAATAACTTTCATTCAAATATGTTTTTAAATTAGAATTGCTTCAGAATTTTGTTTTAGTTATTTATTTAGTTTTTGGTTAATTCAATTGTTATTCACAGGCTACTTAGAAAAACGAACACCTTAAAATTTCCATGTAAATTAGTTCAATATATTTTGTTATAGTTTGGAGAAGAATTGTAAACTCAGTTAACAACGACAACCAAAAAGTAAAGAGGCAACAAAGTAATGAAGAAGAGAGATAACATCACGTATTGGGCTTTTCTGTCACAGAACTTTTTTATTATTGACATTTTGAGAAAAATGCATTCTTCACAAAGCAAAAAAATCTAAAATGGTTAATCTCGTTTATACTTTTCCAAATTTCCATACCGTTTTAGAGAAAAACATTATTAACAAAATTTATTTAGTTCAATGGCTACGGAAAGGGTGATGGTTATCGGAAAAAGTGATATTATAATAACATTAAAGTA